TCCAAAAGGACAAATGGTCTCTCAAGGCCCTGTATTTATTCCCAACGCACGGCATGGAGCAGACTGTTATTTAACCCAGCTCGGATTATTCCTGTGGTCATGTTGTCACCTTTCCTTTTATCAGAAGAGCCCCGATGCTGTGTGTGCTTCCATCACAAACAGGAACCCAGGAAGGCAGACATATTAGAAAGGTTACTGGTCAGCTGTAGGCCCAGATGTGTTTTGAGTCACTATTCATGAAGCCACCAGTGTTGTGGGTTTAACGAAAGTCCAATAATAACTAAGGTTATGAGCATCCCACTGTTAGGCATATTGATAAGAATCTTGCAACAATAGACAGCTATCAAAGAGAAAAGCAGCCTCTCTATCACTAATACACACACAAACAGCACATGCCACAGAGTTGGGAGACTATCTGCGTACACAACAAGGAGGCTATTCTGAAGACACAGCTAAGATTGAAAGGGGGTGGGGGCAGGTAACTTTTCTCTTAAACACATGAAAACCAGACAGGCAAACCAACAGAAAACTTGGGAGCCCCACAGGATTGACAGGGAAAGTAGATGACCTAATTGGTCTCTCTCTTGCCATGACATCTCGGTGACCAAAAAAGGCTTATGAGCAGATGCCTTTCTTTACTGGTTCTATGCATATAATGCACACAGCATTTTCCAGAGCACGCTGATGACTTAGGAGCCTAATTTTCACCATAAATTAATGGAACATCAGCTCCTAAGTCATTTTGTAAATTCTGCCCAGTATGTAAAGTCCTAATTTTGCTGTGTTTTGATTTGCCACCAGAGACAATAACTCTAGGTCATGGCTTTGTCTGTTTTGACTCTGGAAGTCACTTTAGGAAGCAGGGGAACTGGAACAAAGACACAGCTGGTGCCCCCACAGGAGGAAAAAATTTAGAATGACCCAGGCCTCCTCTAGAACCAGGATTCTGACAATGTGTGTTGCACTTGGCAGTAATCAAGTCAGTTTCATGGGGTCTCCAATGATGGAAATCACTTCTTCCCTATTGTAGTGGAAATGTGGAAGACTATTGTGATCGAGATTAGGTGGTGTACTATAATTGTTCCCTTTCATGTCTGAATCTCCATTAAGGCCTGGATGCTTTAAGCAGCCATTTATGCTGTTTCCGTCTCACTATTTTTTTAGTCTTAAGGAGTTAACTGCTTGCTTAAGATGGTACAATTTAGCAATCCACTGTTTACTTTTAACAGGCTCTGAGACCCGTTTCAAAGCTAACCACCAAGGCGGGTCCGGGAGGAACAGAGCGTCTGGGAAGATAACATTGCCATCTATGTTGAATGTTTACCACCTGCTAAAGATAATTATTTGGCCTGGGAAAATAGTGGATGTATTAGCAATTTTGCCAAGTTCTCAAAACAATTGGTGTGAGCAATGTAGGATAGTATATAGGTGCCGGGGATATTCCTAACATTGGTCTATGCTAAGGTGTCAAAGCCATGGGAAATGCTACATACCGGCCATGGAGGTCTGTCCACTGTCCTTCTTCAGGGGGTTGCCGACAGCAAAAGGGATGTATGCATTGCATTTTACTCTGAGGTTTGCTTAGGCTTAATAAGCATTGTACTTTTTTAGTAAGCATTGTATCCTATCCTAAGACTTTCTTAATAAGCATTGTACTTTACTCTGAAATAAGCGTTGTACTTTACCTTGATATTTGCTTAGTAAAATCTTTAAACCTTCGTCCAATTTGTGTGATTATTGCCTCCAAATCCTTTAAGGAAAGAACCATTGCCTCTTGGCAACACACATATGTAGTTGGTCACTAATTGCCTACTCACAAGGCTGTTACATTGTTGCTTTCTGGGAGGTTATAGGCTACTAGCCTTACCCTTGTTCTGATGGCATCTGTTCCAGAAGTCGATGGCTTTGAAACAGAGGGGTGAGAAGTGGGCACCCTTTGCCTGTTTATGCAGTGCATGGCTGTCAATGTGTTCTGAGAAGATCACCACTACCAAGTTCTGGAGGAGAGGTAGGAAGATAAGAACAGCAAACAAGACACTCTGATGGCTGAGTTCTGGGATGCACATATACAGCTCACTGTTGCTTGGGAGCCAAGTGACTCTGAGCTGCAGGGGTGCAAATGAGCCCTCTAACCTCCTGTAATCTCTGGTGGGGAGGGGATTGAGAACCTTCTTCAAGGTGTCTGAAGGCTTCAGCCAGCTTCATGGTGACAGGATACAGAAGTGTAGGGTGTTTCACTGAGGACTAGAATATTCTGAGCCAGAGCTGGAGTTGATGTTGGTAAATCCTGGCAAGTGGCCGCATGTACATGCTGAGATTACTTCTGGACTCAGGTGCACTGATGGCCCCAGTGCCAGGTAAGTGGCATCAATGCCTCCACTGCTGACTTTGATGGAGTTTTCTTCCTGCCTTACTCAGGGTATGGAGTGTGCTCAGAAAAGAATGTGTGGAGGGTTACCCCATGGGTTCCTCCAGGATGAGGTGTCAACTGCCTGAGCTGCTCAAATCTGAGCCATGTGTCCCTTAACACTCAAATCCTCAACAAGAACAATTTGCACAGCAATTATGTATCAGGGATGTGACCCTCCCAGACAGACAGACAGGGCCTCAGCTGTGCCTACTGAAAAGAGGGATGAGTCCATTGTAGGTTGGGCAGGGCTCACATCCTAAAGGCTTAGAGTCCACCATGGAAGCTGGCAAGAGGCACCCTGCACTGCTGTGCATAGCTGAGTGTCTCCTGATCTTTTTCCTCTTATTTTTGGAACATCCCATTTACAGGAACTAGAAACTGAGGAAAGCGATGAAAAACTTCACAAAGCTAACAAGCTTGAAGCTTGTGAAAGAGCAGAGGGTCAGATAATCACCAGACTCCATGTTGCTGCTGAGGTCAGTAAGAGAACAGACAGACTGGGACTACTCAGCCCTTTATGCCCTCACAAAGGAGCATGAGGTGGCACAGGGCGTGCGTACAGCCCGAAGGGACACTTTCTCCAAATCATCCAATGGAGTACACTAGTGGCCTGTGCACCTAGAGTGGGAACTGCACTAACACCTTATTAAAAATAAATGAAAGTTACTGCCTTGCACATGTGGAAGGTGAAAATCCAGCCACGTCTAGCCACCTGCACCAAGGACGAATTTATGATCAACCTACCCAATTTAAAAAATTGAAAGAATTAATATACCCATGTAAACTCAGCAACGAGAGAGCCAGCTCTACGAGTAGAGTAAGAACCAAAACCTGGCAACGTGCAGAGGAATGCTGGAATTTACACTATGGATGAAATGTGCCACTGTATCTTTCCCTCACAGCATAAGCAAAGTCACTTGGGGGTAGGGGAGCACTAACCTGCAATTGCAGGCACAGAAGGCTGCAGGAGACCTGGCTTGCTCTAGCCTAGAATGCAACAGTTTCCACAGAAGCTGTTCCATCCATCCTAGAGCCTTCGGGTCTGAATGTCCTCCCAGCGCCCTAAGCCATGGAAGTGTAAGGAGAAAACATGAGCTACAGAGCACAAGATGGAGCAATGCCAATCACCGCTCAAAGGAGCATGAACCACACACTCTAGAAGTAGCTTACCAGTCAAAGCAAGAAGGCAGTGCAACAACTGTAATCCTATTACAAGCCACTGTTGAGCTAGGTGGCTTTTGTTTTGCGTCCCAGTGTTTCACTTCCAACATATTTTGCCAGTGAATTTAGTCCTGCCTAGAAATGCCAGTGACAAGCCTCTCTTCACAGAACAGGCATATCTGGATACTGACAAAGGCCTGGTACCCACACACTGGCCTGCCAAGATACACAGAGGGTTCAGCCCTCTGGGTCACAGGAGTTCACACTCTGAGATGACTGAGGTACCAAATCCAATTGGATTTCACTGCAACGGTGCTGTGGCCACCTGCCTCACTAGAAGTGGGTCTAAGATCGAAGTCTTGCAGACCAATGACAGTGCAAATAGGCTGATTTCAAACCCGTGACTCGAGCTGTGACTCGAGAGAGGGCTGGCTGAGTGCTGCGAGCTCCCAGAGCTAACTACTCCCCTCCAATACGACACCCTTCTTGAGCAGCATCTAGCAGGCGACTGCAGAATGCGACAGTGATGACTGAACAGCACAGCTGTCATCCAGCTCCACGGTAGCATCTCAGTGACCTTGGACACCTGGCCCCCATAGATCAAGGGGGGCAGTGCAAGTCAGGGGTGGTGGCAGGGATAGGCTCTTTTGGCAGCTCTTCTTTTTCCTCAAATGGAGCAGAGGCAGGCAAGGGAGAATTTGGTATTCTCTATAGCTCCACTGGCTTTCCTCTCAGAGCCACTTGAAAGTGCATAACACTAACAATCTGGTGACCGATTTCACCCTAAAGCCCAAACATGGCACCAGAACTGAGCCCACCTCCCCAGTTTCATGACAAAAAAAGGTGACAGATTGTGCATGGGGGCATCACAAACTGGCTGAGAGCTGCTTCCAGTTAATGGAATAGCCAGCATTTGAGGCAGTGCCATCTGGTAAGTGGGAGTCAGGACTGCTAGAGCATCTCTGAGCTCTGCAACTGACCTACTGGGATTCCTCAGTCATGACACTTAATACCTGCAGTGGGGCTAATGTTTCTAAAGTGTTTTGTGAAGTTTGGATGAGAGGAGCTGGGAAGAGCAGGGGCTGTTTCCACACAGAAAAGGAAAGCTGCCCTTTCCTTCCGTAACACCCCCCATTCGATGCAGCCAAAGCACACACCTTGCAAGAGACCAGGAAAATTGGAAAGCTGATTATTTTATCAATACCCTGAATCCTTCCCCTTTCTAGCCCCATCTGTCTTTTTGACCCACCTCTTGCATCCACTCTGACACAAACTAACTTTGAGGCAGGGACTATTTCTTTGTCCAGCATCTAGCACAACGGGACACTGAGCCTTGACTGGCGCTTCTAGGTGCTACCATAATAGAAAGCACAACTGAAATAACGGAATTTGGAGAGGAACTGACCCCACCCCTATGGGGAACACATACCCTCAGAAACTGAACAGCGGCCGATGAGTCAGCTAGTCACTTGCATCGTCATCCCCGTCCTTCTCCAGCTGCTCCAGGATTTCGTCCAAAGCTCCAGAACGCTTCTTCTTCTTTGGGGAATCTGTGTGGGCCCAGAGAAGAGGGCCATGTGAGAGAAGACAATTAGAAGACATGCAATCGCACCTCACTGCAGCCAGCATCCAGGAAGGTTTCCCAGGCTCTCTCTGTGGACTCTGCTGAGCAGTGCACAGGGCTGGTAAAAATCATGTTTAAATGCTTCAAAGCCCAGAGCTGCAACAGCTGGGATTAGAATGTAGGCTGTCCTAGCTCGCAGGACTGTGCCCTGATCTCCACCTCAGCCAAGATGAAGTGAGCCTACATCCCAATCTCCACTTCTGTGGGGTCCGGGGTAGGCTGTGGGAGGGAAGAGGACTGGCAGTGGAAGCTTCCACGCTACTTTTATGCTTGTGGACTTGTCTGAGTAGCAGCGGGGAAGGCAGGAGAGGGCTCTTGGAGAGTCCACCACCTTTCTCTTGCTGCTCTGCTGAGTATGGCTAGGTCTATACTGCGCAATTTTTATGCAAAAACGATCATTTTTGTGCAAAAACTCGGAGCATCCACACTACAAGCATGTTTTTGCACAAGAAAAAGTACAGTAGACTGTCAGAAGACAGGTCTTTTTGCGCAAGAGTTATTCCTCTTTCTACGAGGAATAAGCCTTTTTGCGGAAGAGCCCTGTGTGGACGGACAACAGGGGTTTCTTGAGCAAGAATCTCTTATTGGAAAAAGCACAGGTGCTCTGATGGCCACTCTTGCGCAATCGGACAACAGGGGTTTCTTGAGCAAGAATCTCTTATTGGAAAAAGCACAGGTGCTCTGATGGCCACTCTTGCGCAATAGTATCCATGGCAGTGAGGACGCTCTCTTGTGCAAAAGCACATGGCAGCGTGGACACACTCTTGTGCAAGAAGTTTTTGTGAAAGATCTCTTCCACAAAAGTTCTTGCGTTAAGAAGCCTCTAGTGTAGACACAGCTATCTGTGTTGGGATTGCACAATTATCTCCTTTTTCCTCTTTGACAATGGAGGACATTTGCACCCATGGGGGCAGCCAGATGTTGTGCATTCCTATCAGAGGGGCTTTTCACAGGAAGCAAAGGGATGAAGAGCAGGAGAAAGGGGCAGTGTACCTGGTTTTAGGGAGTTGAGACCACATGGAGGATGACCTGACTATGGGGAGGAGGGCAGAACAATGCAACCAGCGGTTTCTTCACCAGGATAATGCCCCCTGGACAATGCCTACAGAAGGGAAGTTGGCTGCCTCAATCCCCCCTGCAGCAACTCTGGGCTACAGGCGCCTTTGCTTCTCCTCCTTAGCTCCCTCTCCCCTGCTCTAGCTCTCCTGAGCAGCTCATTTTAAAGCCCTCAACTATCATTTGCTTCTTTGTAATAATCAGGCTCTGGCAGTGCACAATGGCCTCTGGAAATTTAAATTGCAGGGAGGTAATGGGAGCTGTGGCAGCGGCGGTAGCCGGAAACAGAAGGGCAGGTGCGGTAAAGCATGAACTAAGTGCCTGTCACTCTCTGGGCTGATGCTAACGATGCTAGGGCTATGCCATGGAGATGCAGCCTGATTTAGATCAGCTCCCCAATAAGGGGCACTATCTGGGGCTCAGTGTTTTAGAGGGTGGTGAGCGACAGCTCTGACTCACTGCCTGAAAAACTGGTGGGAGATTTAACCCCTTTCCCGCTGCCCCTGCAGTGACAGGGCTTTGTTTGGAAGCAAACCATCAACCTGCTTTAAAGAAATTTGCAGTGGAATTTCTTGCCATGCCCATTCCGTTGATGCACTCTGGTCGATTGAATCCATTTGTACAAGAGTGTATTTTAAGGGCATCAAAGCTCCTATGAAATAGTCAAGTCAGGACTATTGGCATGACAAGCACTGCTAAAGAGGCTGACCCCTCTGCTATTTGTCAGAGGAGAGGGGAGTGATCTGCTAGAGACAGGGCTACAAGGTATCCCTGGGGAACGATCCCATGTGTCCATGGGCCAACACTGTCCACTCTGGATTGATTATGAATCTTACATGTTGATCAAGCTGTGGTTAGTTGGGATGTGTCATGTAAATCACATGGGGCTTTACCGTCCTCATGCTGCATCACAGCACTAGCACATCTGGAGTTAGCACTCCTGCGCACACCTTTGACAGTGGCTTTCTGAGATGCGACACTAGAGATAACCTGCCTGGGCGAACGCTTGCCAAGAGTGAACCCCGAGGATAGCAAGCGTGGCTAGAGTGAATTTATTTCAAGCTCCAGCCAAAGATCCATGTAGAAATTATCACTCAGCTTAGTGACACCAGGCAAGAGACCTTTAGCCCCGCTCGCTGAGGACAGTTTCCAGGAGAGACAGACAAGTATCCTCCCATGAGAAGTGCACTTCCACAAGGAGAGCAGCTGTTTAAACCCTGCTCTCAGACATCAAAAGCCTCACTGGGTTTCTCAAACAAACAAACATACCGTACGACTGAAGAAAGGTGTAAAATAAATAAATGGAACAAGCTGTGCATTTTCTTTTAGTATTACAGCTGCTGCCGAAGATAAACAACAAGGAAATGTCACAAAGCATCAATACAGAAGAAATTAACCTGACAAAAGCTCACACCCCCTCTTTCTGTCTTAAACAATTTTGCATTTCTGGAGTTCCCATCTAATGATTTTATTTTTCAATTAATTCTTTGACAGAATGCCAGAATTGGCCCTCCTTTTACTTCTATACTTTAAGAATGCTATGGGAGACAGGCAAGGGGGAGGGGAGGTTGTGTGTGCATGTGGAGGGAATTCTTCTATGGCTTCTGCTCAGCATCACATCCTCAGAGAGAATAGAATGGCTGGAATGGTCTAGTAAGAAAGCTACCTTCCTATTGTTAGTTAGACATAAAACTAATTAATTAAGCAGCTGTGTCTTGCTTGAACATGAAAAGGAAATGTCTGACAAGCATTTGAAAATCTAGAATTGCACAGGACACCGATAACCTTAACTCTGCCCCAAGACCCTTACCTGATTGTCACCTACAAACTCGCAAGTGCCATCTAATCCTCCAGTCAGATTCGACCTATCCCAGCTCATCTTTCTGCTAACTTCCAGAGAGATCAGAACTCGTCTACACACCTACCTGAGTGTTTCTTCAATCCCATTCCCATGTACATGCAAAACACTCAAAGTGTGGCAGTGCTTTCAATTCAGGTTAACGGGGGCAACAGGCTTTCTTTGGCTCTATAACCCTCAATTCACCCCTTGTGCCCAGAAGGACAGACAAGTCCTCCTACAGTTTGCTGAAAAAATATCATACAGCAGTTCAGCTCACTGAAGGGTGAAGAACCATTGGATATGCCCCCAGAAGTCCTAGTGACATACATGCAGTACCCATGAGGACACTAACTTGATAAAGGTTGAACCTCTGTGGACTGGGACACTCTGGTTCAGCAACATCTGGCCAGATGAGCTGGAAGCCTGATGCCAGGGCTGGCAGTGGAGCCAGCCTGGAGGCAGGGAGCTGGCAGCGCAGAGACCAATGGCTAGGGCTGGGGCCGACAGCAGAGCCTGGCTAAGGGCATGGAGCCTGTCTGGTAGCTGAGATAAGGGCTGGACTGGCAGTGCAGCCCAGCTGGGGATGTGGAGTTCTGCTGCCAGGAGGGTGGCCAGGCCAGGAGGCAGACTAGGTGGCAAGTGGAGCCCAAAGGGGAGCCAAGCCGGGTCTGCTGATGGATCCCGGAAGAACCCAGAGTCCATCAGCAGAGAAGCTGGAATTGATCTTCTCTGGTCTGGCAAAATCCCTCGTTTGGGACCACAGATCAGGGAGATCCAACCTGTGTCACACTTAACTCCGTTTTCACTAACACAATGAACAAAACTGAACCAGGAAGGCTGGGACCCTTCGACCATCATTAGCAGCATTACCTCAAATATTGCAGTGTATACACAGGACTGAGTTCAGATTTCAGGGGTGACTCAGGAATAGCTTTGCTGATGGTAATAGAGTGATACCTTTGTAAAGGAGCTCATATGTTTAGGGATGTTAGTGTGTAGTTGTTTAAATGATTAACTGATAAGCCTGGGTTTTCACTTAATCCAAACTACTATACTTAAAAGCTGGATCCCCACAAGCACCAGATCTCATAAAGCCACCTGTCCACCAGCCTCTTTATAAAAGGCAGCAGCGGGGCGCGGGGTGCGGGGAAAGGAGAGAAGCGGCAGAGAGGAAATGTGCAGGTAGGATGCCAGAGTAATCTCTGTCCACAAGGAGCTCAGTTTCTTGCATAAAGGAGCTGCTGCTGCATCTGTATTAGGGCTGAATCAGAGGCAGCAGTGCAGGGCAGCAGGCAGGAACTAGTCTGCTCAGGAGCTGATTTTTAAACCCCTTCCGGCTCCACCTAATACAAAGGCAGCAGTATGAGATGGCAGGGGGCTCCCCAGAAGCGGGGCCAGGAGCCGGGAGCACATCGGCTGCTAGTCCCACCTTTGGGGTGACATTTTAGTAACCATGGATAACTGCTGAAAAGAATAGGTTCCTTACCTCGTAACTGTTGTTTTTCAAGATGTGTTGCTCATGTCCATTCCATTCCTGGAAGTCCACGAACGCGGCACACACACACCTAACTGGAATGGACATGAGCAAGCACTCAAAGAAGAACAGTTGCGGCTACATAATTACTAAAATAACCAATATCTAACATCCCTACCAAAAACAGGAGACATGAACCTTATCTATCAGAAGGCTGGCTATGGAACCTTAACTACAAACATTAACTCTAAATTTAAAGAAGCCCAATGTGTTGCTTTTTGGTGTCTAATGGGTTATGCCTTCTATTACAGTCACATTTATAGTTGTAAAGGATTAGCAATTGATAGGTGTTTTAATAAACAGTGAATTGCCAAAAGTTAAACATGTTATTACTTTGTTTATAACCATGGCTTGTCGATTATGCCTTCTACTCAAATGCTTATCTAACCTGTACCAGGCATATCTGCATATCATATTAACTGATCACTTACTGACGCTTTATAAGCTACTTATTATACAACTAAAATGTATTAAAGGAATGCTTCAAAGTCAAATG